CACACATAAATCTGCCTCTGTATGAAACATTTTTCACCTTCTACAGCATACTTATTACATTTGTGTTAAAATATTTATATATTAAATACATATTTTATGTATTATACATTTTGGAACTCAGAAGCAATTTGTCGGCTAATGAACATTTTGATATTTGCTGAAATAATTTGTTGGTGATGAACTAAACAGAGCTGCTTAAAGCAGAAATGAAGATGCTATAAAGTAAACTGGAATGTTTTTTTTGTATCCATTGAATTAAACAAACAAATTCCAAACAGAATTTGTAATATTAAAGCCCACTAAATGTAGCCGAACAATAAGCCGCCTTGTAATCTTTCTTCATTTGGTGTATCTGCTTGGTAATTAAATATATTTGTAACGCAAACGGCCCCAGACTGCACTTGAGTACTTCCGTTATAATACCGCTTCCCCGTCTGAACACCGATCACAGACACCACCGCTGACCAAACAAGACTTTATGCCACCAGTCTTGAAGTAAAACACAGATACAAGATATATACATTCAAGGGAACAACCCCCCCCCCCCCCCCTGTATAATGACACAGGGTGGGGAAATCTACTTTTAGTAACAAGAGACACACCAGCAGACAGTCCCATCAGTAGGGAGGGCTGCTGGAGACACCCCCCCACCACCACCACCAAGCCAATACTCATAAACACATACATCCCATAATAGTTTGCTCCCAAGCAAGACACACAATAGAACAATGGGATGCAACCATATGGTAATAAACAATCCACAACCCCTCTACCCCAATATTAGGCCAAATCACCCTGTACCCCTAACAGGCACAGGGTGACTTACACATAATAGGGATATGGGGAGCTGAGACAGGGGGTCTCCCCACCTCTCCAAAGTGAGCTGTGTTCCATGGGCCCCCACCAAAAGTAACTCCCGTCACAATATTACTTTATGATCTTCCTCTATAATTATATTTTTCATTGATTTTAATTGTTGTTAGGTCCTTATACTATTCATTTCCTTTGCTTTATTATTCTCCTTCTTCTTTTTTTTCTAATGATTATGATTATTATTCAGGATTTATATAGCACTGACAGTTGAAAACCCCTTTCAATATAAAGGAGACAGCCGTGTTACAATACAATTCAATACCAGAGGCTTAGGAGGGTCCTACCCATGAGAGCTTACAATCTAATATTTGTTTATCCTTCTAGTTTCGGCATTTTATTACTTCCTGTACCTCTGATGGAAATTTCTGAACCTAATTACATATATAAAGACAGAACGAGCCATGGACCGTGCAACAATTATACCTAACGCTACATTCAGGGCAGCCGTGTGACATCTGTGCTGCTTGTGGTTTACTTCTCTGGTAAGGAAAAAACAGAGAATTTGAATTTAAGAAGAAAAAACATTCACCCGGCTTCCTGCTGTGATGTACTGCGCCACATAGATTCTACCTGAAAAGTGGACCTTATGGAATGATAACTGAAAACAGGAAGACAGAAATGTAAACATTAATATTTAAAAGTCCTAATTGATTAATAAATAAAAAACAAAATCCAATGATTTGGAGGGGTGTCCCCCAATACGTCCGGCAGTATAGTGTGAGTCAGACACCTGCAACACCAGAGAGCAGAGAAATTTCTCCTGACAGTGATCACTGTGTCTATCCCCTCTGTTGTCTGCTCCCTACAACTCCCCCAGTAATTCTCCCCCATCCCTCTCATTCTCTCTCTCTCTCCCCTTCCCCTCCTCTTTCTCAACCTTCCACTCTCCCTCCCCCTCTCTCTCTCTCCCTCCTCCTCTCTCTCTCCCCCCCTTTCTCTTCACCTCTTCTCCCCTTTTTACCCCCTTCTTTCTCCCTCCCCCTCTTTCTTTCTTTCTCTCTCCCTCTCTCTCTCTCTCCCCCCTCCCTTCCTCCCCCCCCCCTCTCTCTCCCCCCCCCCTTCTCTCTCTTCACCTCTTCTCCCCTTTTTACCCCCTTCTTTCTCCCTCCCCCTCTTTCTTTCTTTCTTTCTTTCTTCTCTCTCTCTCCCTCTCTCTCTCTCCCCTCCCTTTCTCTCTCCCTCTCTCTCTCTTTCCCTCCCTCCCCCTCTCTCTCCCCCTCCCTTTCTCTCTCCCTCTCTGTCTCTTTCCCTCCCTCCCCCCTCTCTCTCCCCCCCCTACTCTCTCTCCACCTCTTCCCTCCTTTCTACCCCCCTTCTTTTCTCCCTCCCCCTCTTTCTTTCTCTTGCTCTCTCTCGCTCTCCCTCTCTCTCTCGCCCCCTCTTTCTCTCTTCTCTCCCCTTTCTCTCCCCCTCTCTCTTTCCCCCCACTTTCCTGCCCCCCCTTCTCTCCCCACCCTCTTTTTTCCTTTGTCTCCGCTCGCTTTCTTCCTCTCTCTCTCCCCCTCTGCTCCTTCTCTCCCTCTCACTGCCCCCTCACCCCCATCCCTCTCTCCCCCTCTCTCTCTCCCCCTCCCTTCTTTCACTCTCTCTCCCCCTTTTTTCCTCTCTTTCCCTCCCCCCATTCTCTTCCCCACTCTTTCCCTCCTGTCCTTTTCTCTCTCTCTCTCTCCTCCTCCTCCTCCTCCTCTCTCCCTCTCACTGCCCCCCTCACCCCCCCCCCCCTCTCCCCCTCTCTCTCTCTCCCACTCCCTTCTCTCCCTCTCTCCCCACTTTTCCCTCTCTTTATTTCCCCCCATTCTCTTCCTCTCTCTCTCTCCCACCATTCCTTTTCTCTCTCTCTCCACCCTCTCCCCCCCCCCCTTCTCTCTAACCCCTTTTTTTCTCCCTCCCCCCTTTATTTCTCTTCAACCCCCCCCCCCTTTTCCTCATTGTCCCCCCTTCTCTTTCTCCCTCTCCCCCATCATTCTCTTCTCTCTCTCTCTCTTCCTGCTCCCCTCTCATTACACACTGTCACCCCTATTTCTCTGTTTCCTGCAAACTTCAAACCCAAATATGTGAATACCCCCCCAATCTCTCCTTGCTCTCTCCTCTAGTCTGTGGTCACCTCTTGAAATTAATGTTTAGAATTGGAGCAGATCTGATAGAATTCTCCCCAGAAGCTGAGGGACACCCAGAATTTACTGCCCCCCCCCCATCCCCCCAGGATATGACCAGCAGAGCCCCATCTGAATCATATTGTATGAGATGTCAGTTCCTGCCCTCACTCTGCTTCACAATCATTGTATTGTCCTGAGGAGCCCCTGACATGCTGACAATACGTGTCTGTTACACGGCGCTGAGCACGGAGTCCGTCATCACGTCTCAGCTGACACACAGTCACCAGAAAGGAAAACCTCATTAATTACAACTTGATTATCAATATTGAACTCCAATTACAACGAACCCCTCATAATGGGCACCACAGGTGTACAGATTCCAGAACTCAGCACAGGAATGGTGGGAACCCCTCATAATGGGCACAGCGGGTGTACAGACCCGAGATCTCAGCACAGGGATGGTGGGAACCCTTCATAATGGGCACAGCGAGTGTACAGAGCCAGGAATTTAGCACAGGAATGGTGGGAACCCCTCATAATGGGCACAGCAGGGGTACAGACCCGGGAACTCAGCACAGGGATGGCGGGAACCCCTCATAATGGGCACAGCGGGTGCACAGAGCCGGGAACTCAGCACAGGAATGGCGGGAACCCCTCATAATGGGCACAGCGGGTGTACAGACCCAGGAACTCAGCACAGGGATGGCGGGAACCCCTCATAATGGGCACAGCGGGCGTACAGACCCAGGAACTCAGCACAGGGACGGCGGGAACCCCTCATAATGGGCACAGCGGGCGTACAGACCCAGGAACTCAGCACAGGGACGGCGGGAACCCCTCATAATGGGCACAGCGGGCGTACAGACCCAGGAACTCAGCACAGGGACGGCGGGAACCCCTCATAATGGGCACAGCGGGCGTACAGAGCCAGGAACTCAGCACAGGGACGGCGGGAACCCCTCATAATGGGCACAGCGGGCGTACAGAGCCAGGAACTCAGCACAGGGACGGCGGGAACCCCTCATAATGGGCACAGCGGGCGTACAGAGCCAGGAACTCAGCACAGGGACGGCGGGAACCCCTCATAATGGGCACAGCGGGTGTACAGATCCCAGAACTCAGCACAGGGATATCCTGCTGTCAGTACACATGATGACATCATAGATCGGTAATCTCCGGCTATCAGTAAACAGGATGACTTGCTCACAGCCTCAGCTGCAAATGTTTCATACTGATAAACTTTAAAAACTTCCTTCTTTGTATTTTGTATCTTTTTCACCCAAATATTTGTAGCAAAGTATCTCGGGTCTCCAGAACACAAATCTCATGTATCAGCTGAGCAGTTCCTATATGGTGAATGTATCAGTTTCTTCTGTATGTTTTCCCTGGTGATCCTGACAATAACAAACTCCCATTCACACCTACGGGTGTTGTAATTGGTGCATTTTTCCTGCATTTTTGTTTTTTTTTGTTTTACTTTGCAAATAGGAAAGCATTGAGTGTGACTTTGCTGCAACTTTACACTGTGTGGCACCCAAAGTCGCATCAGAGTACCACAGAACCTTTACAAATATCACTGCAGCTTTGAAAATGTTCCTGCACTGCTGATGAGACTTGAGTACCAGAGAGTGTAAAAGCGCATCAAAATCGCACTCAATACTTCCCTGTTGGCCAAAAAAATGCATAAAAAATACAACGCTTGCGTTTGTGGTGCGGTTCCATTGAAGTCTCTTGCACCAAAACCGCAATCAGGAAAATAAGTCCCTGACCCTTTCCAAAAAAAACGCACAAATGTCCCGTAGAAAACCATGGTCAATGGACTGTAGTGTGTTTCTGCAAAACGCACTAAAAAAACGCATTGATGTGAAGAACAAAGCCTTATGGAACAAAGAGAACAAACCGCACTGGGGTTGGTTTATTACCCGCCTCCCACCCTCCATATAAAGAAGTGATAGGAGGGTGGCGATTCTCTTGTTCTAGGAGGACGTCATATGACGTCCTCCCACTCTGCGCATGCGCCCCCCCCACCCCCCCCCAATCACAGCTGATCGCATGTAAACAAGGAAAAGCCAGTCATCAGCAGTCATCTCCTCGTCAGTGCCAGTCAGTGCTGCCTATCAGTGCCAGTCAGTGTTTCCTATCAGAGCCATCAGTCAGTGTTGCCTATCAGTGCTAGTCAGTGCCCCTATCAGTGCCCATCAGTGCCATCCAACAGTTACAATCAGTGCCGTCTGTCAGTGCCAGTCAGTGCCACCTATCATTACCATATACTGTATGAGTGCTGCCTTTCAGTGCCCATCAGTGATGCCTGTCAATGCCCACAAGTGATGCCTGTCAATGCCTATCAGTGCCACCTACCAGTGCCTCCTCATCAGTGCCACCTATCAGTGCCGCCCATCAGTGCCCCCTATCAGTGCCCATCAGTGCTGCCTAACAGTTCCAATCAGTGAAGCCTCTCAGTGCCAGTCAGTGCCACCTGTCAGTGCCATATACTGCATGAGTGCTGCCTTTCAGTGCCCATCAGTGATGCCTGTCAATGCCCACAAGTGATGCCTGTCAATGCCCATCAGTGCCACCTACCAGTGCCTCCTCATCAGTGCCACCTATCAGTGCCAGTCAGTGCCGCCTATCAGTGCCCCTTATCAGTGCTCCTTATCAGTGCCCATCAGTGCCACCTAACAGTTCCAGTCAGTGCAGCCTATCAGTGCCAGTCAGTGCCACCTATCAATGCCATATACTGTATGAGTGCTGCCTTTCAGTGCCCATTAGTGATGCCTGTCAATGCCCACAAGTGATGCCTTTCAATGCCCATCAGTGCCACCTACCAGTGCCTCCTCATCAGTGCCGCCTATTAGTGCCCCCTATCAGTGCCCATCAGTGCCGCCTAACAGTTCCAATCAGTGCAGCCTATCAGTGCTAGTCAGTGCCACCTATCATTGCCCATCACTGCAGCCTCATTAGCGCACATCAGTGAAGGAGACAAATTACTTATTTACAAAATTTTATATCAGAAACTAATAGAAAACCTTTTTTTTTCAAAATTTTCAGTCTTTTTCAGTTTATTTAGCAAAAAATAAAAAAAACACCAAAAGAAAGCTCTATCTGTCTCAAACAAATGATAACAATTTGGTTTGGGTACAGTGTCGCATGACCGCGCAATTGTCATTCAAAAAGCTGAAAATTGGCCTGGGCAGGAGGGGGGTAAAAGTACCGAGCAGGCAAGTGGTTAAAGGCAAATAGACTGTGCACTTTGCCAGTACAGTTGCTCCAGAGCTTAGTAAATGAGGGGAAGCATCACTTTGTAAAGAATATCCAATTACGTACAAGGAAAAAAAAACCTGCATTTTTGCTTGCACCTGATTGGATGATGGAAGTCGGCAGAGCTCCCCTTCATTTACTAAGCTCTGGAGCACCTGCACTTGCAAAGTCTATAGTCTATCTTTAGTAAATCAACCCAAGTGGTTTTCAGCCACTGCTGACCTGCCTTTGAACATGATAGCTGCCTTTCTGTCATGCTGATCCTGTGGTTTCCCTGTCTTGTTCCAGGCCTGCGACTCAAAAAATACTGACGCCAAAGGCAGGGACAGCCAGGTGCAGGGGCGGACTGACCATTGGGGCTAGAGGTGGACTGACAACTCTCATGGGACCCCTTGGCAATAGGGGATCATGGGGCCCCTGTGTCCTTGCCCAAACTCAAAAAAGCCTATGAAAAAGGTACAAGGGCATCTCATGGGGCCCCCTACTGAACCCGGGCACTCAGGCAGTGCCCGAGTTCCCAAATGGTCAGTCTGCCCCTGATTTGGGCACTCGCGCACTGCCCGAGGGCCCGGGGTCAGTAGAGGGCCCCATGAGATGCCCCTGGTACCTTTCATAGGCTTTTTTGGGTGTTGTTTGAGTGTGGGCAAGGACACAGGGGCCCCATAATCCCCTATTGCCCAGAGGCCCCATGAGTTGTCAGTCCACCCCTGGCCAGGTATCAAGCAATTTTAGGAGTTCGGCCATGTTGCTCTCTGTATGGGTCTCCTTTCAGTCAAATAACTTGCCATTACACACAATGCTGGCTCATTGCAGCCCTGCCATCACCCAGGGATCTATTGTGTTACCTTCTTGCCGTTGGCCACCTCGATGTCTTCTCATAGTCTGCCAGCTTCCGCGTCCTGTTACATTGTATCGACCTCGTTACTGACAGGTCCGCAGATCACCATGGCTGAGATCTGCTGCCCCATACACCCGGAGAGGAGATGACACTCCCTAGCATTTCTTGTGGTTTCCTCTGTGCTACATGTGTGAGCATCACAACTTCCCGTCTGAACTCAGCAGTAACACAAGAGCTCAGAAGTGGAGAGGTCCTGAAAAACACCAAAAGGGGGGTGAGTGTCAGAGGGGACAACCTTCCTAATTCAATGTAAGGGACGGGGTCGGGGGGGGAAGGTCATCCGGATTTAGGGAAGGCGATTCACAATGCTAACACGTCAGGATCTTCATTGTTTACATAAGTGGCAGTTATTTCCAATGAGATCTGAAAATGACAGTCACATGGCTGGACATAAAGACCCTTCTCCTGACATAAAGCTTAGTGAACTGATCCTTCGATGCCTTACAACGCCTCATGCATGCTGAGCCTACAGGCTTTTACAGGCGTTCGACTATTTCTTTTTTTTTTTTTTTTCGGCCTACAAACACACCTCTCTGTGTAGCCTATAGCCCCATTCACACCTGAGCATTTTGGAGCTCCAAAGCGCTTGGGGAGCAAAAATCAATTATTCTCAATGGAGATGGTTCTCCTCTCCCACTCCAAGTTGCCTGAAGCCCAAACAAGTACGGGAACTTTTTTTGAACACCCCCCAGTTCACGGTTGAACATTTGAACCTAAAGAAAGTTCGACCATGAACTTCAAATGGAGGGAACAATTCAGTAAGCAACATCTTACCGCATCTTAGCCTATGGCCCCATTCACACCTGAGCTCGAAGATCCAAAGCGCTTGAGGAGCAAAAATCAATTATTCTCAATGGAGATGGTTCACATCTCCACTCCAAGTTGCCTGAAGCCCAAACAAGTACAGGAACTTTTTTTTTTAACACCCCCCAGTTCACGGTTGAACATAAGAACCTAACCAAAGTTTGACCTTGAACTTTAAACAGAGGGGACAATTCAGTAAGCGACATCTTACCGCATCTTAGCCTATGGCCCCATTCACACTTGAGCTCGAAGATCCAAAGCGCTTGAGGAGCAAAAATCAATTATTCTCAATGGAGATGATTCTCCTCTCCACTCCAAGTTGCCTGAAGCCCAAACAAGTACAGGAACTTTTTTTGAACACCCCCCAGTTCACGGTTGAACATTTGAACCTAAAGAAAGTTCGACCGTGAACTTCAAATGGAGGGAACAATTCCGTAAGCAACACTACCGCATCTTAGCCTATGGCCCCATTCACACCTGAGCTCGAAGATCCAAAGCGCTTGAGGAGCAAAAATCAATTATTCTCAATGGAGATGGTTCACATCTCCACTCCAAGTTGCCTGAAGCCCAAACAAGTACGGGAACTTTTTTTGAACACCCCTCAGTTCACGGTTGAACATTTGAACCTAAAGAAAGTTCAACCGTGAACTTCAAATGGAGGGAACAATTCAGTAAGCGACATCTTACCGCATCTTAGCCTATGGCCCCATTCACACTTGAGCTTGAAGATCAAAAGCGCTTGAGGAGCAAAAATCAATTCTTCTCAGTGGAGATGGTTCACATGTCCTCTCCAAGTTGCCTGAAGCCCAAACAAGTATGGGAACTTTTTTTGAACACCCTCCAGTTCACAGTTGAACATAAGAACCTAACCAAAGTTCGACCTTGAACTTTGAACAGAGGGGACAATTCAGTAAGCGACCGTGAACTTCGAACAGAGGAGACAATTCAATAAGCGACATCTTACCGCATCATAGCCTATGGCCCCATTCACACTTGAGCTCGAACATCCAAAGCGCTTGAGGAACAAAAATCAATTATTCTCAATGGACATGGTTCACCTCTGCACTCCAAGTTGCCTGAAGCCCAAACAAGTACGGGAACTTTTTTTGAACACCCCCCAGTTCACGGTTGAACATTTGAACCTAAAGAAAGTTCGACCGTGAACTTCAAACAGAGGGGACAATTCAGTAAGCGATATCTTACCGCATCTTAGCCTATGGCCCCATTCACACATGAGCTTGAAGATCAAAAGCGCTTGAGAAGCAAAAATCAATTCTTCTCAATGGAGATGGTTCACATCTCCACTCCAAGTTGCCTGAAGCCAAAACAAGTACGGGAACTTTTTTTGAACACCTCCCCAGTTCACGGTTGAACATTTGAACCTAACAAAAGTTTGACCGGGAACTTCGAACAGAGGGGACAATTCAGTAAGCGACCGTGAACTTCGAACAGAGGGGAAAATTCAGTAAGCGACATCTTACCGCATCTTAGCCTATGGCCCCATTCACATTTGAGCTCAAAGATCCAAAGCGCTTGAGGAACAAAAATCAATTATTCTCAATGGAGATGGTTCACCTCTCCACTCCAAGTTAGAAGGCATTTGGGTGGGAAACCTGACTAGCCCCCAGCTGGACTGTGCTTCAGAGCTGCAGGTTCTAAATTCCCTTATCCAGGGATTCACCCAGACAGCTGGATAGGGGAAATCTTTCTGGGGTTTTTGTTGTTTTGTTTTTTTTACCACGTTTACCACAGTTTTAGCTAATATAGGAAAAAAAGGAACAGGAAATGATAATTGCTTAACGTGGTCAAAAAGGGGGTTTGGCCAACATAACTGCCGGTTTATGACTTAAATATATCAGGAACAAAAGTACAGCTCTCTGAATAATGTTTGCATGCTGGAGTGGAAAGACACAACCCTGTCTATGTTCTTAGTGTAGTCCTTCGGTTCTTCCAAATGCTGCCTTATGTGTTTGAATGCAGAGCTGCTCTGATACATGCATTTGATCATGAACCGCAGGAAAAGGCTTGGGCTTGCTGTGCTTTGCCTACAGTGCATCCTAATAGGACCTATTATGTCCAAAGAAATGCAACACACGCAGCCAAATTACAGCCTCAGAACCGTTGTCCACACTGTACCACCAAAGTAAATGGGAATCCACTGACCTGTGTTTTAAATGCCCACCAAATGCAGGAAGAAAAATTATTATTATTATTATTATTATTATACAGAATTTATATAGCGCCAACAGTCAGCACTTTAAAATATAAAGGGAGACAATGCAGCAACAATACAGTTCAATACAAGAGGGTTCGGAGGGCCTGATCCTGGGAGATTACAATTTTAGAGGTAGGGGCTAGTGGTACAAAAGGTAA